GCTTCTCAACATTCATCAATTCAAGAATTTTTCTAGGTACTGCCTCTGCAACCAAAATAAACCAATTTAGTAATGGAACACTCATGACACTGCATAAAGCATATGTAATGATAATTAATGCATGATATTTCTCCCAGCGGCACTTATAATAAGGAAGGCTATTTGAACAAGTATTCAAAATAATGTTGTACAGAAAAGTATTGCTAAAATAAAAAGGAAACATCAATTGATTAAGCTCTTATAGCATTGTAGAGAGAGAGCGAACAACATACTGTCAACCCCTAGCTTAATAACAGCAGCAACAAAACTACGATGAAGCTCTTCGGTCCAAATAACTCGAGACTTCTTCTGGGTTGATGTTGATGTTGAGGGATCCATTTTGTTATGACGTATCTTGGGCTCCTCATAGTCATTGTGGTAATCTTTATCATGCTTCTTTGGGACAATATTCTTACTCCTAATTACATGCAGCCATATGTTTTGCAGCTCCTCGATTCTCACAGGTTTTGCCAGATAATCACAAGCTCCAAGTTTGATTCCTTTCATGACCATGTTTCGGTCATTATCTTCAGACGACACTAAAATACAAAATTTAATAATGTTAAAGGTTCATCAAACAAGTAAATGAAGTCCCAATATCAAATAATATATTAATCGGGTGGATAAATTGAAAAAAATGCTCATCACATACATATGACAGGTTGGTCCATCAAATTCCAACATTGCATGAGTTCAAGCAACTTAAATCCATTCATTTCTGACATGTGGACTTCGGTGATTATCAGGTCAAACTTGCTTTTCTTTTCTTTCAACAACTTCAGTGCTGATACTGCATCTGTGGTCACGGTTACTGCAAGTGCATAATTACAATAAAAGATTTGTCACATAAAAAACCAACTGAAAATACTAGCAGACTCAACTTGACAAATTCAAATTTATTAAAAATAAACAGAATATATGTTATTGTTCCAATAATAATAACATATAGAGCAGTCATCGTTGCACATAACCTCAAATTATTTCTCCAGAATTCAAATAAACACTCATGAGGGCAACTTTAGGGTCCCTCTTGGATGGAATAGGTTATACGTTCCACTACTACTATGGGTTTCTTGTTAATGCACAAATGGGTTCCAAGTTAAATGCGGTCATCATCGATAAATTTAGAGAAAGGAAACTAAGATTCATAAGTCACTAACATTTGTAAAATGGAATGGGTGTACCACAACAGAACTTGTACCTCAGCCTTAATTAAAGGATTTTATAAATCAAATAAGCAGAATTTTCATGACATTCCGATGCAATTTGTGCATCAACAGGACTTGTTAATGCACAAATGGGTTCCAAGTTAATTGCAGTCATCATCGATCAACATTTTCAAGAAAATAAAAAAGAAAACAAGTAACATACCATCATATTGACACCGTCTGAGCAAAGTCTGCAAAGTGAAGAGGCTCAATGGGTCATCATCAATAGCAAGAACACGCATTCCTACTGGAAACTCGTTTCCAATTTCATCAGTGTCATGATCCTTCACCACAGCCATTGCCAGAGTATCTAATCATAAAAATATATGTCAGTGCAAACAGCTATGAGTTAAGCACAGCAAATGGTTATCTAATCAAAATTCATAATACCTAAATTGAAACACTGACACAGCATTGATCTATTGCCAATTTACAAATTAAAAAAAAAAAAAAAAAAAAAAAAAGCACAACTTTTAACATCTCAACACCAATCATTACTCAGATTCAACACAGACCCAACATAGATACCATTAAGAAAAAACCCAATTAGCCATTTTACCCACATGGGTATGTTAAAAATCATACATCTTTAGCGAAATCATGGGTCCTGAAAATGCAAGAACAGGGACATAGGAAGAAGGGACAAGAACAGGGTTTGTGAAAACGCAAACAAAGAAAGAGAAGAGGCACAGAGAAGATGTTGACTTACCTTTCTTTTCTCTTTTGATACGAGGAACGAAGAACAAGGACAATAGCCAATTCAAAATTTTGCGGGAAACTCCGAACAAGAACAAGAAGAAACCTTTCTTGATTGTTAGTTACTCAGTCTCACTGTCTCACACACTGTCTTGAACTTCATTGGTTGTTATTACATATATATATATAGCATTTAATTCAATACCGTATGTCGGTTAATTATAAATATAATATTTTTTTTCAATACCGTTGGTGGGTTAATTCAAACTCCGATTTCTTCTCTCCGCGAAATTCAAAAAAAATTTCTTGATTTTCTTGAATAAATATAATATTTAATTTAGCTACTAATAAAATTAATTATAATTACTTATTCATATTATTTTCAAATTTATTAAAGATTTTTTTTAATAAAAATTGACACTAAATTAAGAATTTTATAGTAATATTTATTAAACTCTTAGCTTCATGTAATGGAAATAATTACTATTAAAGATGTTAGATTAATACCCTTTTTTTTCCTCTTGTGTGCTTAGGATTAAAAAGTTGACTAAATACTAAGCAAATATGAGAAGAAAAAAAAGGTTGACTAAATTGTGAACAGCTTTTGAAGAAGATTAAAAGAAGAAACTTGCTATATTTAACTATAATTTGTTAAGTATGGATAGTATGACACTCAATCTCTATAACTTATTATTTGACATAATTTTTATTTTATGATATGTCTTCCCCTTTTTCCCTTACTTAATTGGGAAAATTTATTTTCTTTTCAAGTATATAAAGTAACTTCTCCTTTGAGGCATATAGGAATTTCCATTTGTCATATGTTATATAAGAATTATTTCCCCTCCCTTTGGACTATCTTTTATCCGAATACGTGTCTTGGACCCACTTAACGGTCCATAAGTTCTATTAGATTTGTGCTTTATTTAATAAGGAGTTTGAATACTACTCAAATACTTTCACCTTCACGTAAACCTTCTTTATAAATAATTGGTTCAACTACAAAGGTACACACTTCTAAAACTCTTACCTCCTTTACTACTATTGCCCACACGCACCACCTCACTTAAGCTTCTCGTCTAGCTCAATTGCTTGTGCACAAAGATATATCATCATTCGCAAATATCTTCTCCATAGATACCGCTGATACAATTATGTGATATTAATCATAATCCTATCGAATTAAATATTGACACAATTTGTGGGAATCAGTAAATTTGGATTCTCATCCAATAATGGCAAACACCTGCAATGCAGCGTACAACCACTCGCCATTGTAGCAAAATGCATCTTAATAACAGGAACAACAAAATTTGCAACCATTATTCCCACTATCAATGCAAAAGGGGCAAATCACATGGATGTTAGTGAAGGAAATATCACATTTGTCTCTGCCCAACTAGCCTAACCCACTCCCTCATTGTTGCACACTAACTTGATCCTATCCAAGCTGCAGGGGCATTACTGATGCAACATTTGGATGACATTTAATGCCACATTAGTGAGCACCAGAGTGAAAATATGGGGCAACAAGGTAAGACACAACTATAGTCTTTGCCTTCTTACTCAGTGAACTAACCTCGGATTGGTTCAACACTCTACCACGACACTACATCATCTCATTCAAGGATCTCTCCCATAAATTCTTACTCAGCTTTACAACTAGCAAAATACATCCGAAGTCATCTCATACTTTGTCTTAAATCTATGAAGAGAAGGCGAGCCCCTTCATGTTAATCTAAACTAATTCAATGCAGGAGCGATATATACAGGTCCACAACTTGGATGAAAATGTGCACTTGCACCTCCTTGTTGCCTGTCTTCAATGTGGGTCGTTCTCCACAGTCTCTGCACAAGACTGTGGTCAACAATCTAGTCGAGTTCAAGGTTCAAATCCTCCAAGTATGTTGATGTGCATGAAAATGAAAGGCAAACACTGAATACGAAAAAGAATTCTCCCTTGCTAGTGCCGTGAACGAAAAGGGCGACAAAGTAAAAGAAACCCTGAGGCTCACCCTAAGAACATTGACATATGTCCTATCGAAGGGAAGTATGAAGTTGAAAGACCCAAATCCATCCAAAGCTAAGATAAATTTAAAATGTTTGGTGTGGTTACCACAATAAGTAGCCTTAAAAAAAATAGAATAGGTAACTCTACTATCATAATCATCGTTAGTTTTTTATTATACAACGGTAGGAATCAAACACCCAACAAATACAAATTACTCAAACCCCTCACTACTAGACCAATTATAATAACTTTAATCATCATTATCTTTCAATAAAAGAGTTTTGTTGAGCTAAGAATATTGCTACACGTGTGTACTACAAATTTAAACATATTTGTGGAATAATAATTAATATAAGTATGAGGTGATTTATGTACTCGGTACGCCTAATGTTACTGAGATGATGACGTTAATATTTGAAATATATTATGTTTCTTTGCAAAATTAATATGTATTATAAATTTAACTTTATTTTTTTTGTTAAATTATTGAATACTAAATATAATATACACTACATAAATTAAAAATATTATATAATATCAAAATGTATCCTAACGTGTCAAAATTTTATATTTTTTAGAATTAACGTGTCATATCATGCCCCGTGTCGATGCAACATAACGTAGAAATACCACTTTCGTCAAAACAAAGAATCTCTAATATCGCCTAAACGGTTGATAACCTAAACAAAAGCTCAACCTACGAACCATAAAAGTAAAAAATAAAAAAAAATAAAAAATAATGGACACTATTTAAAGTGAAATGACTGCTCAAAAATTACTATATACTGCTAGCCATTACTAATTGACTATATCAACGCGTCCCACAACCAATAGAACATTGCTTAATGGTCAAGAACTCATGTTTGCAAAGCAATCCAGTATAGTCACAAGTGAAAGTATTACATATTACAAACAGTAAAATACATCAACCAGAAATATGATTGATAGCATTCGCAGGGAGATATTGATATTAAAAAAATAAATTAAAAAATCAGACATAACATACACCTACACTGGATAATACATTGAAAAAAAGGTTAGAAACTTCATGTATACAACTTCTTAAGATCATCTATGAATTTGGCTTTCAGCTGTTCTCTCTTTATCTTGAGGGCAGCAGTGACTAATCCAGATTCAGGAGTCCATGGATCCGGAAGCAACTTAATCTTTGCAGGAATTTCAGATTTATCCAGCTTTGCAGCTTTTGCAACCTGAAATAAATAAAGGAAAATGAGCCATTAACCATGCAGGCTGCAGCACGTACATTGGTTATTAACTTAAAATATAGTTACCTCGTTACATCATAAATAACACTCATTATACAGCTTGGCAGATCTAAACAATCATTTCTACAAAGTTTATCCTTCTAGGATCACTACAATTGAAAATAATGCCTTGTCACAGCTGTGATAAGTGAACCAGGAGGACACAACCCCAAGTGGATACTTCCTTTAACATTGATGTGGGGAAGTGCAAGTGCGAAAACACATTTAAGTGCAAATATTTCATAAATAATTTTACAGATTTTGAATGTGGCCAACTGGGTATCCTGTTAGAATATGTGGTTATTTAATGTTAACAAAAAGTGTGGTGATTCCACTGTTGTGTTGATTTTTTTTTTGGTGTGTTCATTCATTATATTTTGCTTTTCCTTCAATGTCGCTCTCAAGATAATAATGAATAGATGAACCACAGCCAAATAATATTCATATTGTTATGAACAATAACAACGACAACAAGCCTTATTCCACTAAGTGGGGTCGATTTCATGGATCAGTCGATGCCTTTTGGCTCTATGAAAAACACTTCTCAATTAAACCATTTAGATAATTAAAAGTAATGTCATGTTTAATGGTTTCCCTTTAAGTTCTCTTGCGCCTTCCTCTACCAATTTCTTTAAATCAGACCATCATTATAATAACCCTAATTTTATAATTTTGAAATTAGAGGATTATTAGGAAGACCTTAGGATCATAAATGGAATGAGGATGAGATTCTAAGAATTTTGATATCCATAGTGATAGTATTCTACCCAGGTGGATTTTCATCTGTTATTTTTTACTGCTGACGCAGTAACAGTTACTAGAATAGCTCCAATTTAACAAATTTGAGTTAAAGAGCTATTTTGATGATATGATTATCATAGATGAGGTTAGTATATGAATTGATGAAGTTTGATACCCATATTGGGGTATTTTGGGAAAGTCACTTCGGCCGGTAGAATTCCGGAACGGGAAAAAAGATGAGAAAATGTAAAGAAAGACCAATATATGCCTAACAAGTCATAATTAGACCAATAATGTTAAAGTTAAAAAAATTATGAAATCCGGGCACAGTTAAGAACACTGGTAAAGACTACAGTGCAATTAAACAACAGTAAGTGGATCTGTGATCTACTAATCAAATTTTTGAGTTAGGAACATGATAATTAAACAAATTTAATATTAATTACTTAAAGTTAGAGTCTTTAGTGTTTTCGGGTAGAGAATTGATAACAGTTCGGATAAAAATTACACCGGGTGTCACTAAAGGGCAGAAAGTCACTTAAGTGACTTGGTCGAAACCCTATAAGACTAGGGCACCCTCCTATTTAGCCATTGCAGCGCCTCCTTCACTCTCTCTACCATTTTGAATTTCAAGTTTTCTCCTCCTTCTCTCTAGATTTCCACCATCAAAACTCCACCAAATCACTAAACTTCCTTCACAAAACTTGTTCCTCTCATCCTCCTCTTCAAGAACATACCATTTTGGTTCTTGGAAACCAAATTTTCATGGTAAATCCCTCCCCAAACAGCAGCGGTCTTGAGCATTTCCATGCCATGGAGATGATGTTTTGAGTTCTCCTTGAAGAACACCACTTTGGTGTTTATTTCCTTGAGTTTTAGTGTAAGTTCTTGAATTCTTTTCTTGAAAAACCTCACCTTTGAGATGTGTTCTTCTGTTCTAACTTTGGGTCTTTGTTAAAGGTGTGTTCTTTGTGGAAAAGATGCATCTTTGTTGAAGAAAAGTGGAAGCTTAAAGCCTTGAAGTTAACTTGAAGAAGTAAGCATAGTTACTTGAAAAAATGGTGACCAAAACCCTCCCCCACCCACCTATATGATTCGGCCAACATGTGTTCACTATGGAGTTGATGTTTTAAATTGATAAAAATTGGTTCTGGATGTTGTAAAGGGTGGACAATCATAAGTGGGACCAAGGGAAATGTTAAAAATGCAACCTTTGAGCTTAAGAACACTAATTTGATTAAGGAATGGATTTAAACCCTAATGACACTATCATGTCAAATCTGCCCTAATGAGTATAATTAGGATTTTATGTTTAAAATTTAATTAAAAAGTGGTTAGTGGACTAATTAAGTGTAGGACTTAATTAACTAAAGAAATGGTGAAGTGGTTAAGCTAAAAACCCTAATTTACACTCCAATGCAATTCGGCCAAGTGTGGACAAATTAGGGTTAGTATGTTAAATATTGGTTCAGGACCTAATTAGGATACTAATCAAGGGTTAAAGTGAGGTGGACCATGCATAATGTATTAATTAACTATAAACCCCTAAAAATGGACCTAATTAGGGTTTAGAAGCACTAATTCTGTAATTAGTGAAATTAATAATTAACTATAAAACCCTAAAAATGGACCTAATTAGGGTTTAGAAGCACTAATTATGTAATTAGTGAAATTAATGAACTAAGATCTACGTGACTGTGTGAATGCATAAGTGACCTAATAATATAAAAACCCTAAAATTAAAGTAACCTAGGGTTCTAATCAAGCCTAATTAGGGTTTACTCATTAAACCTAATTAGGGAGCTAGTTAACAACCTAGGCTTAAGACTAGTCTAGGAACACATGATCATGAAAGTTAATGAAAGAAAATCCTAAGGAATACTACCCTATACAATTCGGCCATGTGTGGTTTTAGGTGCAAAAATTGTACTTAAGGATGATTTAGGGTTTAAAGTGTGTTTAAAGCTTAAATCCACTTGCAAATTGAAAATCTAACCTAGGGTTTACCTAAGGATGTAATTTCGATCATGAGAAAATAGGATGATTTGGAAGTGCTGAAAATAATCTAAGTTACCTTAGTGGTTCTAGAGTGTGATTCTAAGTTTATGTAAGGTGCTTAACCTATATGGTTGATTGTGTAACAAGTGAACACTTCATAATGCACTAAAAATATATAAATATGGAATAAATGGTCTAGACTTGTAATGGGCATATTATTGGCACATGAGTATGAAAAGTGGAATCATTAAATGATTAAGTCTTGTATATGACTTGATTAAGTACTATGTAATTAATGGTGTGAATGGTTCCTACTCTACGTGTGCCTAGAGAACCTTGCGCTTGAGGATTTATTTGGAGCATACGTGTTATATTGGAGTGTGGGCTTGTGCTAAGCTCCTGATTTTGGTTGCTCCTCTCTCTTGTGGCCCCACCATGATGGTGGGCATTATGGTTGAATTGTATGAAAGTATGTGATATGTGGTATATGTGCATTCATTCACATTCATATAGATATTATATGATTCTTGATATTTTGATGATGCACTGATGGTGTATGGTATGAGGTTCCTGGCTAGTGAATATGTATGTAAACTGCCTATGGCTTGACCCTGGGAGTTATTTCATACTACAGTTTGTGTTGACTGCCTATGGCTTGACCCTGGGAGTCACACTAGGCATGTGGGACATGTCAGTTAGCTATTCTTGGGAAGAGCCCTTGAATAATTAACCAGAGGATGAATTATGATGCTATGTTTATGCTATATGTTTGTTATATATGCTTTATATTTGACTTATCATGCAGGAAGTGGGCTCAGGGGATTAGAGGATCCTCTTAGAACCTTGAGCTTACTGAGATGTTATCTCACCTCTTTTTGGGGATATCATTTCAGGTACCCATGGTAGCAATGAGCAGTCTAGGGGCAAGGGCCCAACTACGGATTAGTGGATTGAGGCTACTGTTTATTTTACGTTATTATATTGTGATATGGCATGAATATCAGAATTACAGTATGAGTAATTGAGAAAGAGCATAATTACCTTAATTGCACACCTATAGTCGTGAGGTTTTGAGCCTAAACAAAAAATTATTTTTTGTGTGCGCTTCACTGTTGAAAATACTTCTAGAACTTTCTTTGTTTCTCCTTAAAATAGTTGTTTACATGCACGATTGAAATGATTGAGGCGTTTTGTTGTTTTAGCTACCTAGCCAAATAGCTAATCATTATGATATCCTTTGTTTAACCCTTTGAGCCTAAGCCTTTTCTTTTCTTAATAACCTATGTTTTATTTAGCCACTCCACATACACATTTACCCTAAATAAGATTGGATTGTAGAAATTTCATGGTAGGGTGTAAACATGAGAACTTTATCATGTAATTCTATGTGGTGAAAAAGGAGGTTAGGTGAGTTGAGCAAAAACAAAGGTTGAAAAATGGTGAAAAATAAAAATATTTATTTTTTATTCTATTCAAATAAAAGTGTTGACAAATATAGAAAATGAAAACGAAAAAGAAAAGTATTGGGGGTTGAAAAAGAAAAACACAAAAAAAAAAGTGCTAAAAAAGAACAAGGAGTAAAGAGGGAGAAAAAGGATTGTTGTTTAAAGTGTTTACACTTCACCATGATCTTTCTATGTTTCAATGTTTCAGCTAGTTATCTTTTATTTATCCCTCTTCTAACCATGCTCCATTACAACCTGAATAAAGACCTATTGATCTTTTATGTATGTTAATTAACTATAAAGAGTGAGAATATGATCAAGCGTGAAAGTTTGAGTGAAACACTTACCCCTTAGACAGATGAGTGATGAGTGGAATTAATACTCCAAGTGAGGGGTGTGTTTTAAATTCAGTTTTCTATACTTAATTGATTGATCTCATGTTGTGATTTTATGACCTGCCTGATTTCTTAAATTGCTTAGTTGGATGCGTGTTCCTAAAACTCTAATGTTTTTAACGAAGTCTGATCATGTATGTATTGATTTATTGTCTGAATCTTACATTGAGCATATAGTTATTGAGTAGTATAATATCTTTTAGAGAAAATGTTGATTTTCTTTTCGGTCATCTCCAAGACATAGTCTCTAATTATAATTAAATCCATAAAAACGAAAAAAAAAAGGCTAGTTAAAAGTAATTACTAAAGTTTAAAACAAGGGGGTGTTTGGTTGAGGGTAAATTTTATGATATATAGGAAAATGTGATGTATAGGGAAATGGTTGGAGGATTATGTTTGATAGGATTATGTATAAAAAGTTGTTTGGTTGAAAAAAATTTGTATGGGAAAATTAAGTAACTTTTATAAAGTCTATGTTTGGTTGTAAGTAACATATAGATGGGTAAATGCACTGGGTATTACAAAAATAACCCTGCTGAGAAAAAAACCATCAACCCATGCTCGATTTGTTTTTTTTTTCCCTTACCTTACCTCGCAGCCCAACAAATCGTAGCTCAGTGATGCATATTTTTGGGTTTCAGATTACAAACACTAACATGGTCAACACCTGCAACTTGCATGTTACTCTCCTTCTTCCTCTGTGCAAGTTTATTTTTTGAACAACTCTCTGAGCGTTACTTTTTTAGGTACGACTCTTTTTTACTTTGGCGCTCAAAAGTAGGGGTACGCTGGTAATGTCCTGATACAATGATAAAGTGATTTCGGTAGCTTCTTCACAATACCATATATCACGTGGGAAAAGGATAGCTACCTATTGGACCAAATTGATGTCAAAACCCATTTACCCGGCTATCACATTTACATAGGCATATTCATAAAACACCCCTTCCCAAACATGGTTATATCAGAAACACACATATCACTTACCTATCAAAATCTCCAAAATCTCCCAACCAAACACCCCCCAAAAGTATTGTTGCTTGCGTCTTTTCTGTGACAAATTAAAGTTGCTTCTTGTCCAATGGCTAAGACAAAGCTATTGGGTAGCATATTGGTAAAAAAAAGTAAAAAGATGTAACTAGACTTCATTGAGGCGCCAGGAGCTAACTTTGGTTTCTAACTGTAAGAAAGATATTTCGAAACATTGACTTTTTTCACGAAAATGCATCAAATGGATGTTCTCTGGCCTCTGCAAACTGCAATGCAGAGTCCTATATAGATCTATCTCATCGTAAGCATAGGTCTATCTTATAATTATTATTGTTATATAATAATAAGTGAATGCTATTTCGTAGGGCATTACTTGCATTCTTATTAGTTAAAACTCGGGTTTATTTATCATAATAATTACCTTATTGTTTGCTTATTGACCATTAACGAGTTTGATAGAAAAATAAGTTTGCCCAAAATTAAACACCATAAACTTCATAAATGAGTTTGATATCGGGTGCAGCGAAAACAATGCATTTCAAACAATTGGGAAATCCCTTGCGTCAGAAATATAGAATGAAAATTTTACCAGAAGACAGAACAAGGAAAAGAGGATAAATGAAGACATGTCACTCTACAAAATACTATTAATCTTGCATTCGGTCTCTTCAGCTAATTCCGTGGTATATATGCTATCACAAAAATCAAAGTCCCAATCTCCATTGAAGGTTGAGTTTACTGGACTATGCCCTTCTGAATCAACAACACCATTCAAGGGAATCCGGGAGTCTATTGAGCTACAGATAACATCATTCTGATTTTGGTCATCCCTTCCTTGAAAATTTGTTTCCCCATAAGTATTTGTAATGCTACTCTGATTCCCCCATTGCAAGGATTCAACTTGTTGGGCTGACTTAGAGCTAATCCTTTTAAGATGAAGTCTATATTTCTGCAACAATTGCAAAAACCAATAAGGTTTAATTTCTTAATGAAAAAACTTTGGTTTTATTAAACTAAAGCAGTAGTAAGGATGAGAAAAAAAAAAACCTGGAGATGGCTGGACACATGCTCCCTAGTAAGTTGCTTCTCAACATTCATCAATTCAAGAATTTTTCTAGGTACTGCCTCTGCAACCAAAATAAACCAATTTAGTAATGGAACACTCATGACACTGCATAAAGCATATGTAATGATAATTAATGCATGATATTTCTCCCAGCGGCACTTATAATAAGGAAGGCTATTTGAACAAGTATTCAAAATAATGTTGTACAGAAAAGTATTGCTAAAATAAAAAGGAAACATCAATTGATTAAGCTCTTATAGCATTGTAGAGAGAGAGCGAACAACATACTGTCAACCCCTAGCTTAATAACAGCAGCAACAAAACTACGATGAAGCTCTTCGGTCCAAATAACTCGAGACTTCTTCTGGGTTGATGTTGATGTTGAGGGATCCATTTTGTTATGACGTATCTTGGGCTCCTCATAGTCATTGTGGTAATCTTTATCATGCTTCTTTGGGACAATATTCTTACTCCTAATTACATGCAGCCATATGTTTTGCAGCTCCTCGATTCTCACAGGTTTTGCCAGATAATCACAAGCTCCAAGTTTGATTCCTTTCATGACCATGTTTCGGTCATTATCTTCAGACGACACTAAAATACAAAATTTAATAATGTTAAAGGTTCATCAAACAAGTAAATGAAGTCCCAATATCAAATAATATATTAATCGGGTGGATAAATTGAAAAAAATGCTCATCACATACATATGACAGGTTGGTCCATCAAATTCCAACATTGCATGAGTTCAAGCAACTTAAATCCATTCATTTCTGACATGTGGACTTCGGTGATTATCAGGTCAAACTTGCTTTTCTTTTCTTTCAACAACTTCAGTGCTGATACTGCATCTGTGGTCACGGTTACTGCAAGTGCATAATTACAATAAAAGATTTGTCACATAAAAAACCAACTGAAAATACTAGCAGACTCAACTTGACAAATTCAAATTTATTAAAAATAAACAGAATATATGTTATTGTTCCAATAATAATAACATATAGAGCAGTCATCGTTGCACATAACCTCAAATTATTTCTCCAGAATTCAAATAAACACTCATGAGGGCAACTTTAGGGTCCCTCTTGGATGGAATAGGTTATACGTTCCACTACTACTATGGGTTTCTTGTTAATGCACAAATGGGTTCCAAGTTAAATGCGGTCATCATCGATAAATTTAGAGAAAGGAAACTAAGATTCATAAGTCACTAACATTTGTAAAATGGAATGGGTGTACCACAACAGAACTTGTACCTCAGCCTTAATTAAAGGATTTTATAAATCAAATAAGCAGAATTTTCATGACATTCCGATGCAATTTGTGCATCAACAGGACTTGTTAATGCACAAATGGGTTCCAAGTTAATTGCAGTCATCATCGATCAACATTTTCAAGAAAATAAAAAAGAAAACAAGTAACATACCATCATATTGACACCGTCTGAGCAAAGTCTGCAAAGTGAAGAGGCTCAATGGGTCATCATCAATAGCAAGAACACGCATTCCTACTGGAAACTCGTTTCCAATTTCATCAGTGTCATGATCCTTCACCACAGCCATTGCCAGAGTATCTAATCATAAAAATATATGTCAGTGCAAACAGCTATGAGTTAAGCACAGCAAATGGTTATCTAATCAAAATTCATAATACCTAAATTGAAACACTGACACAGCATTGATCTATTGCCAATTTACAAATTAAAAAAAAAAAAAAAAAAAAAAAAGCACAACTTTTAACATCTCAACACCAATCATTACTCAGATTCAACACAGACCCAACATAGATACCATTAAGAAAAAACCCAATTAGCCATTTTACCCACATGGGTATGTTAAAAATCATACATCTTTAGCGAAATCATGGGTCCTGAAAATGCAAGAACAGGGACATAGGAAGAAGGGACAAGAACAGGGTTTGTGAAAACGCAAACAAAGAAAGAGAAGAGGCACAGAGAAGATGTTGACTTACCTTTCTTTTCTCTTTTGATACGAGGAACGAAGAACAAGGACAATAGCCAATTCAAAATTTTGCGGGAAACTCCGAACAAGAACAAGAAGAAACCTTTCTTGATTGTTAGTTACTCAGTCTCACTGTCTCACACACTGTCTTGAACTTCATTGGTTGTTATTACATATATATATATAGCATTTAATTCAATACCGTATGTCGGTTAATTATAAATATAATATTTTTTTTCAATACCGTTGGTGGGTTAATTCAAACTCCGATTTCTTCTCTCCGCGAAATTCAAAAAAAATTTCTTGATTTTCTTGAATAAATATAATATTTAATTTAGCTACTAATAAAATTAATTATAATTACTTATTCATATTATTTTCAAATTTATTAAAGATTTTTTTTAATAAAAATTGACACTAAATTAAGAATTTTATAGTAATATTTATTAAACTCTTAGCTTCATGTAATGGAAATAATTACTATTAAAGATGTTAGATTAATACCCTTTTTTTTCCTCTTGTGTGCTTAGGATTAAAAAGTTGACTAAATACTAAGCAAATATGAGAAGAAAAAAAAGGTTGACGTAATAAATTGTGAACAGCTTTTGAAGAAGATTAAAAGAAGAAACTTGCTATATTTAACTATAATTTGTTAAGTATGGATAGTATGACACTCAATCTCTATAACTTATTATTTGACATAATTTTTATTTTATGATATGTCTTCCCCTTTTTCCCTTACTTAATTGGGAAAATTTATTTTCTTTTCAAGTATATAAAGTAACTTCTCCTTTGAGGCATATAGGAATTTCCATTTGTCATATGTTATATAAGAATTATTTCCCCTCCCTTTGGACTATCTTTTATCCGAATACGTGTCTTGGACCCACTTAACGGTCCATAAGTTCTATTAGATTTGTGCTTTATTTAATAAGGAGTTTGAATACTACTCAAATACTTTCACCTTCACGTAAACCTTCTTTATAAATAATTGGTTCAACTACAAAGGTACACACTTCTAAAACTCTTACCTCCTTTACTACTATTGCCCACACGCACCACCTCACTTAAGCTTCTCGTCTAGCTCAATTGCTTGTGCACAAAGATATATCATCATTCGCAAATATCTTCTCCATAGATACCGCTGATACAATTATGTGATATTAATCATAATCCTATCGAATTAAATATTGACACAATTTGTGGGAATCAGTAAATTTGGATTCTCATCCAATAATGGCAAACACCTGCAATGCAGCGTACAACCACTCGCCATTGTAGCAAAATGCATCTTAATAACAGGAACAACAAAATTTGCAACCATTATTCCCACTATCAATGCAAAAGGGGCAAATCACATGGATGTTAGTGAAGGAAATATCACATTTGTCTCTGCC